CTTTACTTGGCTGCTTTTGACAGAGCTTGGAGAAAATTATCCAAAGGGACTTTTTCCCAGATGTCACCAAACTTCAAGCACAAAAGGAATACCTTGAAGCGGAGGAAAGTGGAGACCTCGAGAAGATGAGGGAGATATCCATTAGATACGGCTCATCGTTGAACAAATCTACACCACAAACCTCTGTACCTTGTAAGTAGAAGATTTCCAAATGAAATGAGTATTTATTTTACACTATATGATTTTTTTTTTGAGTGATTTCTTTCTATTCCCTTTTTTATTTTTATTTTTCGCAAATGCAAGATTTGACTCCTGCCAGCTTTGAGACACCAGTTGGTCACGCAGGATCGCCGTCCTCCACTTACTGCAGTAAAAGTTCAGCTTTGGGTAAGTTAAGACAAATATGCTCAGTTTAGTTTAACACTGTTGATGTGGAAGTAAATTCAGTAGATATATGTGTAAACTAGAGTAATTGACCCATACATTTGTTGGACCACGTTTCTGTAGAGAAAAAGGATGATGACAAAGAAGAAAAAGAGCTGCCCAGTCTGGATCGTTTTCTTGCTAAAAACACCAGTGAAGATAATGCATCCTTCGAGCAGATAATGGATCTGGCAAAAGACAAAGAGAAACTGAAGCACGCCTGGTTATATGAGGCAGAGGCTGAATTTAAACAGGTTGGTATTGATTTTGGGCTGTTATTTTCAAAGTAATTTAATGAGATGCCTGAATTGGAGGGTTTTTATGTTTGTTTTTTTCTGGAGATATGATTTTTTTTTTCATTATGGATGATCTGCACACTTTGATATTTATGAGTTTAAGCAATTATCATGGCATGTTTTCTGTTAGATCTTGTTCTTTGATGTCTTAGTTTCAGATCCACACATATCTCATTCAAATAATACAGGCTCTGTTGATGCTCCACTGCTCTCATCAAGCAGCACCATCACTATGTGAAAAATCACAATATCTTGAAACTAAGTTAAAACTGTCTCAGATAATTTACACCGTAGCTTCAGAGGCGTTATTTGGGTACAGCTTAAATTAAGCCATCAGCCTCCAGTGTGATTATAGCATAAGGTGTTTTTGTCGGCTTACAAGTTTTAGCTGAAAGTTGCATCACAACAACTCTGAGGCCTGTAGGGGTTGCTTGTTTCCAAAGCGACATTAATCCTGTTTATGATGCTGCCATGTAATTAAATCATCTACAGGAAAAAAAAATAAAGAAATTTAGCTGCACCTGCATGGTTTTGCAGTGCGCTCAGACACGTAGTGCTGCTTTGAAGCTGCATTTGGATGTTTCCTGGACATTAGAAATCAGAAAAGAAAACATGACTGCTTTTGGGTGCATTTGTGGTTTACTGTAGAAAGAATGGAAAAGATTTAAATCATCTGTGATCTTTTTTTTGCAGCGCCACGAGGAGAACCTCGCCCTCCCGTCAATGGAGAAAGCTGCTCTTGAATGCGTCAAAGCTGGGCTGGAAACGTGGGAGTACAAAGCAAAAAATGCCTTAATGTACTATCCAGAGGGTATGAATGTTAAACTGAGAAAACTGCTTGATTTTTTAATTAGTCAATTTCACTTTAACTCAGCCACAACATTTTCTAAAGTGTGGCATAAAATGTTTGATGATTTTTTAAATGTAATTTTTACCTTTATCTTAGGTGTTAAAGATGATGATGCAATCTTCAAGAAGCCCAGGGAGGTGGTGCACAAGAACACTCGGTTTGTTGGAGATCCATTCAGCAAAGCGCTGAACAAAAGCCAGATTCAACAGGCCGCGGCCCTCAATGCACAGGTACCTACAATAATGGGTGAAGTTTTCACAGCACAGAAACCTTGTGTAAAATGAGTTTAAAACCACATTTTTTTTTAAATAATATTACTGTTTTTATTTAAAAAAGCAAATCACATATTGCTCCAGCTGTTGCTAAATATTATTAGTTATAAAAATTGTAACATTTATATTGGGATGAGTTCTGCTCTTTTGGTTTCCAGGACTTGACTGTTTTACTTAAATTTTTGTTTTTTATTTTTTCAAAAGAAATGCTTATTTGAATGGTGTCGCTTATAGATTCTGTTTGTTTAATTTACATGTTTTTGCAGTTCAAACAGGGTAAAGTTGGCCCCGATGGGAAGGAGCTAATACCGCATGAATCCCCAACAGTGAATGGATATGGCTTCGAAAGGACTCCATCACCTGCCCCTGGTGAGTGAACCTGCAAATTATTCAGTCCTATGAAGTAGGGCTGAAACAAGTGTGATTAATCGATTATTGAAATAATTGTCTAACTTACTAGTAATTGATTAAAGGTTAATTGGAGTAAACAGACCCTAAAATATACCATTTGCTGAAAACATAACACTCTCAAAGCAGTAATTAGGCAAAACTGTTAAAACAAATTACACATTTTGCATTTTAGATGACAACTTTCTTTAAAAGTTCTATCTAGAACTCCTAAACTTCACCTGGTTCACATTCTGCAAATTTCTCTTGATAAGCACCTTGTGATGTCCAGTTTTTAATTGGTTACATCTAAAAAATAGTCAACATATCAGCCCTGCTTAAGTAAAGCAGAAAGTGCTTATTTAAGTATCGTATTGCATTTTTAATGCAAAAAAAAAATAATTTTCTTATTTAGAAAAATGATTTACATTTTTTGCATATTTTTACTATTGTATAAAATAAGCACATGTGTTTAAATGAAAAACCTGAGAATAATCAGTTGCTAAAATAATCATGACCTGCCGCCCTACTTTGAGGTTCATTCACTTTTTAAGTTCCCTCTTTTCTATTTATTTTATCCATTATCCAAACTGATGACTTCCTACTTTCATACTTGTGTTTGCTCAATCATCTGTTCCAAATTAGTTTAATGGCACATATTTTATTGCTTGCTCTGAGTTTCTGAGAGGTATTCTTGTGGATAGTTTCATCCAAATGTCATTTTTGACTTTTTCAGGTGTTGCTGATTCGCCTCTGATGACCTGGGGAGAGATAGAGAGCACTCCGTTCCGGCTGGACGGATCAGATACGCCGTATGTTGAGCGAAATCACGGCCCATCATTCAAGGTTAGCGAGATATCCTTTTTTATGTCTGCGTTATTAATGTCTAATTATTTATCTCGCTACATTTTGATGCTTATTGTTGAATTCAAAAGATTCCCGAACCAGGGCGAAGAGAGAGGCTGGGTATAAAGATGGCAAATGAAGCTGCTGCAAAAAATCGTGCAAAGAAACAGGAGGCATTGAGAAGGGTTACAGAGAACCTGGCAAGGTAAGGAGTGCACTATCTTTGTTAAATGTTTTCCTGATTTATACACTGATGGAGAAATTCTCAAAACTAAGAGCACACTTTTTCTACCTTGCAGTCTTACGCCTAAAGGTCTGAGCCCAGCCCTGACGCCCGCCCTGCAGCGGCTTGTAAATCGGACTTCTAGCAAATACACAGACAAAGCGCTGCGGGCAAGTTACACGCCGTCGCCCTCGCACAGGGTCACCCCCTGCAAGTCTCCCTTCGCCGGACCAGCCACTCCTTCAGGAACGCCAACGCCCACCAAGGCTAAGACGCCGAGCTCGCAGGACCTCACATCACTCACGGACAATCTGCTGCAGCTTCCCAAGAGACGGAAAGCCTCAGACTTTTTCTAAGAAAAGCTGCTCTAAGTTCAAACTGTTAAAAACTTCTGTTTAAAAAGTCTTTAAAACTTAGAAGAGGATTTCTCCAAATAAAGGACAGCTAGAATTTCTAATGTTCTGTTGCTAAATTCAATGGCAAATATGATTATTAGTGTCTCTGTGAAATGCATCTTGTCCAATTTTCTCAGTATTTCCCTTTTTGAAATGGAAAATTTGAGAGATTATGTATTTATTACAATCTAGTGTGGTTCTTGAAACTTATACAAACACATGGGATCATAAAGCCAAGCTCAATATATCAGTGTTTGTTTCTGTTACTTGAAAATGTTATAAAATGTAAGACTTCTGGATTTTTACAATGCAATATATGAATGTGGTAATATTTTAGTGAAAATTACAGAAGCACAACTGCAGACTTGCAGAAATGTAAAAAAAAAATAGGCAGAAGCAGCAGAATAAAGCAAAAGCCTTCAAAGCACAAATAGAAAACTTGTAGAAGAGTGAAAAATTTCAGTCAATGCAAAAAATCCCAATCATAAAGTATTAGAAATTTGTGCAGAACTCTGTTTACAAAGCTAAACTGTAAGGTGACAAGAGTAAGTGTTAAAATGAGTTAAAAAGCTAAAGCTAGCTGAAATACTAATAGCCTGTAGGTTAGGGCTAGCATCTTGACCTACAACAATGATCATGAAGTTTGAAAATAAAACATAGGCTAGCACTAGCATGTTGATCTACAGTAACATACTCAATGCAATTGTTGGAATTGGGGTTGGAAGATTTGGGAACCCTCAGAGCTAGTGGGCCAGTGTATCTTAGTGGCCAGAGCAAGAAAGTTGTTAATTTGCCAAAAAAGTGAATCTGAGTTTCTGGTTGTCATTAGATGTAGCATTCATCTGGTTAAAACAAGAAAGTTTTGAGTTTTGCATTTTGCTGAGACACTGCTTCTGAGTTTATTCTGTTTATTCTGTTTGTTCTGGCTTTTAAAAGCTTTTAAAAGCTTCCATATAAAGGGGCTCCCTCTGACTCCATGTTCTCACTCTGTTTCATCAATGACGACACTCAAACATCCCACGAAGTGTTGATGTTTTGCTGTTGTGTACCTTTAATGTTTAAACCAGACTTTTTTTATAAGGTGTAAGTATAACAAAAATGTAAAACTTGTTCAAATTTGTTTTATATCTTGTTATTATAACCAGAAGAGTTCTCATAACAAAATTCTGTTCCTGAAATGGTATGGAACCTGTCAAATAAAAATGCTAATATATAGCAGTGGACCCCCAATGGTTCAACTCTCTTCCACCGCCTCTGTGAGCAGCGTTAAAAGTTGCTCCCATTGTGGCTCCACCCGCCCCCCCACATGCACAGTGTCTGTTTGGGTATAATCTGCCAGACTCCGCCCCGGCAGCACCTCCAGCTGATGGTCCGCCTGTGAGCTGCTGAATGTTTGGAATTGTTGTGATGGGAGGCCGCAGCCATCTTGGATGAGCGCCGCTCCGCACAGAGCACCAACGGTCGACGGTGACGGTGGAGCAGCCATCCAGCTAGCTAACGTTAGCTGCTGCTGGGAGAGATTAACCTCGCCTCTTATTACGACTATGCTTTATTTGCGCCGTGTTACGTAGTCGACGCATTGTGTGCGCAAAAATGGGCATAAGTAGTTTTAAACGTTTTGCGGCTATAATTTAAAAAAGGCAAAGGCGTTGCTGAACCTCGGTATATTTTTACATTTCTGGATAGAGGAGTTACTATGAATGGAGGATAAATGTTGCCGAAGGCTGACAGCAGCAGTTTCGTCCTCCTCTTCTCTCTTCTCTTCGTTCTCACACTAACGGACCCACCACGGACAGGTAAATAAACCCCAGTTTGTTTATTTTTTGGCATGTGTTCCTGTTCCGTTTGCTCGACTAAAAAAAAAGGTGAGAGAAACAGATTTACAGCTGCAGCCTGCAGGTCAGGCGCAGCGGCCTGTTGGTCAGACCTGGGACTCTGGTAGTTTTCAACCCGTCTCCCTGCTGCTGCTGTTCAGGGTGCAGCTCCAGCTAGCCGTGTACGCAGTACCTGTATTTCACTCCAAAACTAGGTCACTTGCAACAGCCAGCAGATGTACATTTATTAGACTTCATTGTTTTTATTTTTTTTTATTGTTATTGTTTTTAATCAAAGATGCTAACTTCGGTTAATTATACTTTAATTCCTCATTAAAATGGTGCACCCTAATTTAGTTTAATTAGTTAATTTAATCACTGCAATCCTAGGTTGATCTCCCTCACCTAGTCTGTAATTTAAAATGCATGAAAGGGATTCATCTTCCTGCATCACCAAACCTGGCTCACATTCATCTCCACCATTAAACACAACTGACTTGGCAGAAAAAATACTAACAATTGTTACTGCTGTCTGTAAAGATGACTTGGTTAAGTGAAAACCCTGTGTTTTGCTCTAAATAATGCACCACCTTATTGGAATACTACTCTATTATCTGTTTAGATATCTTTTTTTTATCAATCAAGGAAGTGTGGATTTTCCTGAACCAAAAGCATTTATTGGTGCTTTGAATGATCTTCTGTAAAAAGCTTTGTAAGCATCACCACAGGACAAATGCTCTGTGGTTTCCTTCAAGCTCGGTCTCGTGATCCCCTCAATTGTGTTGGATTAGAGTTACCGTTATCAGTGGAGCTCAAGGATAAACTCATTATTGTTTGGCTCTAACCAGAGGACTGACCTCCTACCTAGAGAGCAAATTAAAAGGAAAAAGGAAAACATTGTTTATATTTGTGTTGTTGGCATTTATTTGACAGCTTCTTTTCAGTTTGTAGTCAAATTAGGTTTTTAGAGGGGGTTACAAGATGAGTTAGAGCTTTGCTGTTGTATTTCCATAGCTTTAGCCCTTAGTGTGAAGGTCATTTTTGTGCACATTTCATCAAGATGCCCAACGCTTTTGAGAACAATGCGTAGAGTTCACTCAGTGCATGTTTGGAAACGGCTACTGGTTGTTTGGGTGATGATATTTTTCACCGTGTGTCGCTGTCGGTTTCTGTGGACTCTTATCTTCTTGAGAGCTACTTGACAAGGACTTCAAGTACTGAAAAAGAAACAAAATTACTACTCGCATAATTTAGGTGGACAATAAAATTATTAATAGAACCTGCTTCAATTTTACCAGGATGTTATTTAGCAACCATGCAGCCGTTCGGCATTCATAAATCTCAAAGCTCATTGCATCCTTATTTTTACACACCACATGTATTTCACAACACATTTACTTAGCTTCATTTAATATTTAATAGTGCTAAGTGTATTTTTTTAAAATAAGGACACAGACTTTCATAAGTCAAGTATGAATTAAAGGGAGACAATCAAACAACAAAGAATCTTTTTTTCTGGTCGAGAGATGGAAGCAACTCTTGCATGTGCATTGTGTGTAACGCTGCACACTGTGGTGTAACCTTGTGTAACATTGTGGTAGGGTTTGGTACACATGATGGGCCTCTCAAGAGTTTGAGGTTATTTTCACGACCTCTGGTTTGCTCCAATAATATGGAGAATGGATTTTAGCATTAAACTGTGGCTGGCTGAAAAACCACACAAGAGTTTGTTCAGACTACTTCAACTGGGGTGTTGTGTTGGAGACTAAAAATCAAATAAAATAGCAGACTAAAACTCCTCACAGCCAGAATATTTTAAAAATAACCGTTCGCTGAAGTTTTTTTGTGGACTTAAAATAGACCGAAGATTTGTGACTTGCTCATTTAAAACATGAAGAAGTTCATTTCGGCTTTTGTCTGGCATCGTTTTGCAACATTTGGCTTGTTACTTGTAGGAGTATATAAATGATTTCAGAGCATAGTAATTCATTGTTACTATGAAATATTAAACTGTATGCAAAGATAATTTTGATGTACCTGTTAGGGTTCTCTGTGCGGTTGGGAACAGGTTTTTGATTGTGTTATGCCCCCCTGTAGAAACCCGTAAAACATTCCTGATCATCTTGACATTCCTGACTCGAAATAAGACCTTTTCTTAAAAACAAAAAACAAAAAAACTTGTGTGGCTGGGCGATCTAATGTTTACTCATTCTGAAACGAGGTGAAAAAAAATTTCTTTGAGAGAGATTTATGTGATTATACTGTCTGGAATATAATTTTATACATTTTTGAAGTTTCAGTTGTTACTACCTCTACTTTTGCACGGACTGTGGTAACATTTCCTCATAAAATGAGGTAGTCCAGTGGTACTACTTACCATTTGCGTTTATCGAATCAGAACTGAAACTGAAGTCTGTCCGGGGTAAAAATATAATTAACAACTTCTTGTTGGTCCATTAAAATAGCAGAAGTGGCAAAGCAGTTTTTTACACAATGAAAAAACTGTCTACTTGGGTTAGTTTTTTTTATTTATTTTTTGAAGGAAATTGACCCACAGAGCTTTTATCTGCTCAAAGATCGAATTAAATGCGAGAAGATACAAAGAAAAATAATTACCTGAACCCACTCGCTGCTTTTAACACAAACCTCCAGGTTGAATCATCGGTGCGGGAGAAAGCTGCTGTACATTGCCATGTTTTTGCTCTCCATTATCAGGCCAGTCTGGGCTATAAATTGTCAAAAAAAAAAAAAACGTTTCTAAGTGAAAGAACACCCGTATTAAAATGTTGCTTGGTTATTTTTCACTCTTGTTTGTTTTCTCGCAAAGAGAGTTTCTGAACGGCAGCCTTGATGAGCTCTTCTAACACAGAGTTAATAACGTTAAGGAAGCGACTCGGTGTCCTAACAACACGTCTCTACAGCTTACTTTAAACTGGTGTTTGCTCCTGTTTTTGTTCGGAGCATTGAGCTGAAGTTCACGGATAATTCTGGCGCTTTTATTCTTCCGTTTGACGATAACGGTTGATGATTTTCCTCAGAAGGTTGCAGTGAGGTTCCACAGCAGGGATTGCAGGTCATTTTACATTTTGAAGCTGAAACAGCCAGCGCAGTCTCTCTTTCACGGTGAATGTCATTGTCGAGGCTTTAAAACATTTGCACAATAATGTGCACTTCCTAAATGCATTTCTGCAAGCTGTGCACATACAAATGAGCTGAGTTTTCAAAATTGACCTTGCGAAGCATGATCGCATGACTCACTTGGTAACACTGAATGTGGCTGACGTGTATCAACAGTGTGGATCAGAAAGGGATTAGGAAACTAGGATATGAATAATTTAAAATGATCTATACTGATATTTGGGCATGGCACTTAATCTCCATGATGAAAATGTAAAAACATTTTTGTTGTTTGGCTTTGAACCATTGATTCAGCACATCATACCCTAATTTTATTAAATGCAGTTTGTTACTTTAGGGTTGCATGATATCAGAAAATCTTGAAAATGTGATATTGTTGTTGAATATATTGTGATATTTTTCCTTGCTCTTCATTTCTCTATCATTGCGATACTAAATCATTCTGTGCGCTTAAACATCCTGACCACTTTCAGATTTATTATGCATCAGCATCAGGGGCAGATTTCATCTAGCCACACTGTAATGCATGGAGCTTTAAGTAGAATTGCTTATCAAATATTGCCCAAAGTGTGTCTCATATTAATGATTATTTAAGTATGAAATTGAAGAACTCCTTTGTAAACGTTCTTAAACAAAGGGCAGTTAGTTGAAGAAAGGATCAGTATTGTATTTAAAACATGAATAATTTGTTTTAAATTTCATTATCATTAGTCCAAAAATGTCTCTATCCACTGCCTGGAACAGATTTACTCAACCTTTTATAGTCAACTTTTACCCCACTCTATTGTCATAAAATGTACTGAATACGCAAACTTCATTTGCTATTTTAAAATAAAGAAAATGTAGATTCCATGTATTATTAAATTAATTAAAGATATATACTTATCTAGCATTTATAAGACAAATTTATGAATATGTTAAAGGCCTTACCACAAATTTTTGGGGGGTTATGTTTTTTTGTTGTTGTTTTTTTCCCCCTAAAAGCCCTTCTATCAAGTCTTAAACAATTTTAAAAAAATCTTTTTATCCAAAACATGGTGTCGGATAAAAATTCCTTTCAGATTCTCTGTTCGTATTTCTGGAAAATTCAGAAGTGGGCATTATCGTTACACACTTAAAAATAAAGTGTTTTAGACTGAGAACATGGTGATAATCAAAGCTGGTCTTTAACGTTTGATAACTTAAAGCATCTATAAGCTCTGTTCTTGTGCATTTTTCAGTCATACAGTTATAAATGTATCAAATATGCAAGTAATCATCCATGCAGTCAGACTTCATCTGCTTCAGAGCATGCATTTATATTAAAAGTCGATATAACACAATTCAAATATTCTGTGCTTCTCTGACCAAAGAAATTGTAATGTTGCGCAGAAAAATATATGAAGAAATTCTGCAGATGTTCAGATATTTATTATGCTGATAATGCTACTGACTTTCAACTTGACAAATTCCTCCCTCCCCCTTAAAGACATGCATATTTAATATTCCTCCTCAGTGATATATTTTTCAATCCATGGCTTTTAATGTTATCCCTGCTTGTTGGTCATAATGCATTCAGTCCCTGGAAACTAACACAACCCTGCAATAGGATACATCTCAATCCACTTGGTGTCACTAAAAAAAGATGTTTTAGCAATCTTAAATGGTTCCTCACAGAGTGCAGCGCTGGTGTGTAGATCTACGTCCAATAGTCTGCATTCAGCCAGAATAATTTTATTACATTTTACTGAATTTTTAGCATGTTTTTAGGTTGGGTGCAACAGTCTTTAATCTAAAAAAAAAAAGTATGTGTGATTGGGGTTTTGAGGGCCGGGTAAATTAGGTTATGTTCATAAGTTTGCAACACAAACTCCATTAAACTTGCAATGTAGTGATTTATTTGAATTGCGGGTAAAAATGAAATGGTAATTAACTAGATAGTCATTTTATTATTGTCTGTATTTATTTCAGGTCCACGGCTAGCTCTGGCAAGATTATTGTCAGGTAAGAAAGCTTTTTTTCCTTTTTTCCTTTTTTTTTTTTTTTTTGTCGAGTTGAGTTATCGTTTCCCGAGAAAGGACCAGCAGCCCCAAAATGTTGTTTTACAAAATTCCCTGAATATTTTCTAATTAGGGAAGTTTTGTCTAAAGTCCTCTGTTACCCAATCCCTAAAATAGTTTTCTGAGAAGCAACTTAAAGGTCATATTTGAAGTAAAAACATGAAGCAATGAAGCTCCAAAGATGACGGTTTGGTGCCTTTTGTCCTTATCGAATGTCATCGACTGTAGAGGTTAAGTTCTGGTCAGCTGAAATCTTGAGGCTGCTTTTTTGATGACAACTTAATAAAAGCAGCATTGTTGTTTTTACTTCAGTGACCTGATCTTGGCAGTTTGACAAATTTACTCTTTGAAGCAGATTGTCTTAACATGCTGTTTGACACAAAACAGATGCCTGTTTAAAAATGTGCAGACAAGATCAAATTTGTCTGCAGATTTATGAATCCATCTTTTATCATCGCTCTTTTGGGAGATTAACATCTGTAGAGAACATGAGAAGAAGGCTGAATAGTTTCTAAGATAGTTTGCCCCACATTTGACACCTGTTTGCAGCCATTTCAACCACCACCATCTTTGATTTTAAACGTTTATTTTGCTCCCTTTAAAGCTATTCATGCGTATTTTATATCCCTGCTGTGTTTTTCTTGTTTGCACGCAGTTAACCACACAACCCATCTTGTTGTGTTTCAGAGCAGCGCTGCAACACTGGGCAGTTTGCCTGCCGCAGTGGGAAGGTGCAGTGTATCCCCATAACCTGGCAGTGTGACGGCTGGACAGCATGCGAGGACAAAAGCGACGAGATGGACTGTCCCCGTAAGTTCGACTCCCATTATGCAGCCATTCTAACACCTGTGCTTCTGGAGCTTTGATTTCTCTGGAGGCCTGCAGCACACAGGATGTTTCAGGCATAAAGGATCAAATCACAGGCAAGCAGCTTTAAAAAAAAGAAATATGGCTGCTCCTATGGTCCCTTCGGGTTGTAGAGAAATTGCATCAATCTGTATTCTGTTTTGCAACATGTCTACATAAGGGCATATTTGGTATATTCCTCCCTAGAATTGCTGTTTACATTTGCAGTGAGTGATTAGTATCAACAAACCTCCATATTCCCCAAAAAGCATTAATATTAATAAACAAACAAATCAGGACTAGTGGTGTAAAAACAGGAGAACACCGGGTTAAAGTCTCTGTTTTTGTTTACCATTGGGTTGATCCCCTCAGCAGTGTGTAGATGTTACAGAGCTAAGCCTTTTGACCGAAATCCTATTGTTTCCCCCTAAATCCTGACGTCTTATCCCCGGATGCCTGATCGCATAATGGGAATTATTAGAAGGATTGAGAACAGCATGTGACCTCCATAAAGGAGTAGCTGTTCTGGCTTTGAGTTAATGCTGGTGGTGTACACCTGATTACGGTTTCACACTGGCCCCTTTTTTCGTTATTCAATAAGGCTACAAACTCCTGAAGTAGAAGAAAATATGATCACGTTTTCATCTTCACGTCTAATATTTACAACCATTTAGAAATGTTAATATTTTTAGTCAATTTTAAACAGAAGTTTTTTTTTTTTTTTGCTTGGTCATAATTTGCAGAGGATGTGAAAACACAAGATGAGCTCAATGGATGCTCGTGCAACCAGAGAAATTATTTCATTAGCAGGTGTAATTTCAGTTGATGGAAGCTTTGTTTTTGGAGAGGCGGCTGGGTTTCCCCCAGTGTATTTTAAGCCTGGTGGGCCACCAGGCTTTACTTTTGCCCCCACCAGGCTTAGCATTGCTTATTTATTGAGGGTTTTTTTTAATGTTTGCATTTTAAGACTTTATAGTTGGTGTTCAGCTATTAAACTTCCAATCTTCCAATAACGCATAATTATCAAGTGATATTTTCAAGTTTCCTGTCAACTTTAAACATTTTTTTTAATTCAAAAACACGACGGGCCGCTGGATAAACGATTGTCTCAACCACTGGGCTTCGTAAGTTTTCTGAGGGAAACCTTGTGCATATTGGAACTTGAAGTCAGCGTTTGAAAGATTCTCAATCCTCGGCAGGTGTTCCAGTTGATTTTTCAGTCGGAAGTCGGATTTTTGCATTAACGTTGTAATCCGAACAGCTGCTAAACCCAGACTTTTACATTAGAGAGGCATGATTCATCCTTCCAGAGAACTTTCTCCACTGCTCCAGAGTTCAGAGGCAGCATGCTTTATTTCACTCCATCTGAAGCTTTGCATTGTAACGATTGGATGCAGCTCTCCATGAAGCTGTTCTTGAGTTAATCTGAAGGCTGCATAACCTGTGGCGGTTTGGAGCTACGGCCTCTGTAGGAAGTTGGTCCATCAAAGGAAGACCTGTCATTAGAAATTACCTTCATGCTTATTAAACATCCCCTTTAACATGCACTAACTTTTTTATTTTGTGCTTCTTAAGTAACTCTGCTTCTGTGATTTTACAAGTGACCTTTAGCATCATTTGGCCTCTGGCTCCGAGGAGAGATAATGTGTTCTGTTACTACATTGACATTTTTTTTTCTCCTGCATCAACAGGCAAATATATTCAGTTTCTCCTGATTTGCTACCACCTTGATGGCCTTGTTGCAGGAGGAGAGTTTGTTGTGCGTAGACAATGCCAGGCTTCTTCCGTCTGTCCAGATCTTAATCTCATTAAACTGCTAATCATACTTAGAGGCTAAAATCTGCAAAGCTTTCCAGCTGCTTTTCCTGTCCCCAGATCTGGATCTTCCTGCTTGATCTTTTGACTCAAAGTTGATTGGTTTGGGTTGTGTAATTATCTTGTTCTTCTTTCCAGAGATTATTTGTGTGGTCTGCAAGTGCAACTGACTGATAATCAAAATACTTTGCAGTTATAAAGGCAGAGAGGTTTCGCTTTGAGAACGGATACGAGAACGTAGAAGACGCCATCGGCGTAGCTCAGCCCATTCGCTTCAACAGTGAGCATCTCTCTTTTGTCTCAGTGCTTCTGCAGCTTGAGTCACTGCAGCCGTCAAAATGTCCTCCCTGCTTACAGAGAAGTGTCCCAACGGCTGGCATCACTACGAGAAGACGGCCAGCTGCTACAAAGCCTACCTGAAGAAAGAGAACTACTGGAAGGCCGTGGAGACGTGCCAGAAGGTTAACGGCTCCTTGGCTACGTTCGTGACCAGCGAGGAGCTCCAGTTCATACTGGAGATCGAGCTGGACTTTGACGACAAAGTGTGTGAGCGCAGAGAACAGTGCACGTGAGTTGATGTTTACTTTCTTACCTCGGGAACATTTACCATGGAAACTTTTGAGGGTTTTTTTTTATACAATATTAGAAATACTTCAGTTCCTTTTTTTAAAATAAGGAAATAAACATTTTCTTTCTTAAAATGCATTAGTATAGCGTTCATTTAGTAAATTTGAACCTAAAACTTGAGGAATTTTAGTTTCACAGACAAAGCTGTTTATATCTTAAAAACAAAATGTAGATATATTTGTTTAATTTACTCTCAATTACTGCTCTGAATATTTTTTTCAGCAAACTGTGTTTAATTAATGATTAATTGATTACTAAATTAGTTGACCATTATTTCAGTAATCAATTCATCCTGATTAATCGTTTCAGTCCTGATGCTCTGCCTTTACTGACAGATTCAGATTTCATTCAGATTTCGTCATATGATCCGTAAATGTTTGAGCAAATTGACTCAGAGGTCATAGAGTGATAGCCTGCCATCTAGTGGTGAAAATGTGTTGGTTCATGAACCCAGAAATAAGTCCTTGGACTCACTCAGCATGTAGTAATGTGTAGTAATACTATGTCCAGGTTTTGGGTGGGCTATCAGTATGTGATCACCAATCGAAGTCGCACCTTGGAGGGCCGTTGGGAAGTGGCCTCCAAAGGTAATGAAAGGAAGAAGAGTTGAATAATCTCCACTCTGTGATCTGGGTTGGGCAGTAAGGATGCGCTGTTTCCTCACAGGGTCCCTGGAGGTGATTTGGCCGCCTGAGGGCCTGAAGAAGTTTGGGGAGACCTCTCCCTCTCAGGACAACGTCTTCTGCGCCCAGCTGCAACGCTTCCAGAGCAAGAGCATGAATGAACACGGCCTGCACAGCTGGGACGCCGAGAACTGCTACAAGAAGTTCCCGTTCCTCTGCAAGAGGAGTATGTGCTCACTTCGTTTGCTTCCAGATATGCCTATAATCAGCTGTTTTATTACCATTTCTTTATTTTTGGTTACTCTTTACACAGGGCAAACATGTGTGGACATAAAAGACAATGTAGTAAATGAGGGCTACTACTTCACCCCGAAGGGGGACGACCCGTGTCTGAGCTGCACGTGTCATGATGGCGAGCCGGAGATGTGTGTGGCGGCGCTGTGTGAGCGGCCGCAGGGCTGCACTCGCTTTCAGAAGGATCCCAAAGAGTGCTGCAAGTTCACCTGCCTGGATCCCGGTACTTGTGTTCATCTTTTGGTCTCTGCCGCTGTGTGTTTGTACAAGGGAACTCTGGACATTTATACCCGTTACTGCAGAATCTTAAGTACTACAAGAAATGTAGATTAGGGCCGCAACCAGTGCAGCGAAAAAAATTAGTCTAACATCCACATGTGAAAAGTTCAACACTTTATGGTTGACTTGACATTAATACAGTCCAGGGCTGATCTGTTTGTTTTGGGGGATTAACCAGGTAAAAATTGAATAGGAAAAAAATGTGCTGAATAGTTTAAGCCAAAACTATGACACTTACAGACAAAGGCTTTTTTTTAATGTAAATACATCATGAATATATTTTTGGCACATTTTTGACTTAATTATTACTTTCAGCATGTTGTTCTTTCAGCAAATGCCTTTTCTGTGTCTGTAGCCTTCAGTTAACAGTTAATCGATTACAAAATTAGTAACGATTATTTCAATAATTGATTCATTGCAATTAATTTAAACTATTAACTAGTTGTACGGTTCCGATTGTGCTTAAATGCACAAGCGAAAGTCTTATTTTGTTTTTTCTTTCTTCTTTTCCCTCAGATGGAAGCGCCCTGTTTGATTCGATGGCCAGTGGGATGAGGCTGATCGTCAGCTGCATCTCGTCCTTCCTCATCCTGTCGCTGCTGCTCTTCATGGTGCACAGACTTCGTCAGAGAAGACGCGAACGCATCGAGACTCTGATCGGAGGCAACTGTAAGCCCCAACCGATCAATATGATGTCATTTAGTTTAATCGGAAGAAATAGGATAAATAACACACTACTTGTAATCCTGTGATTGATTTGCAGTTTCTGCTTTTAATAATGCTGAAATCTATTAATCTCTTAACATTTCTCGTTTTTTTTTTTTTTTTGCTTTCCTCAGTGCACCACTTCAACCTCGGAAGACGAGTGCCGGGCTTCGACTACGGCCCAGATGCCTTCGGCACCGGTCTCACTCCTCTGCACCTGTCTGACGACGGCGAAGGCGGGGCTTTTCATTTCCAGGAGCCGCCTCCGCCGTACGCCGCCTACAAATACGCCAACATCCAGCACCCAGACGACCCCCCTCCTCCGTACGAAGCCTCCATCAACCCAGACACTTTCCTCTACGTGGACTTCGGTAGGGAGCGTCCGTCCTCCTGTCCGGCTAGCTCGTCATGCGAACTGTAGAGCTGCAGCTAGCGAATATTTTATCGATTATTCTATCGATTTATTCTGACAATCTGATTTAAAAAAAATTGTCACATTCTGCTAAGCTTTCATTTAACCACTTAAGTTTTTTTCTGCATAGTATTAGAAATACTCTGAATATGTTGTGTTTTTGAGTCTGTATGCCCAGTTAATGATTAATCCATTACTAAACTAGTTGACAATTATTTCAATAATCTGTATTTTCAGTAATCTGATGGAAATATCTTGGTGCACTTTACATAAGAAATATAAGAGCTTGTTTTAAGTTGATAATTCCTTATAATGAAAAAGTACTAGATCCACTAGTATTTCACTAATAACTCGTCCTTTTTCATCAATATTAAGGAATTATTGACTTAAAATGAACTCATGTTTCTTGCTGAAAGGTGACTTGTAAGTTACTTTAGTCTATTTGCACTAGAAACTAGACCTGCAGGATTACTCTGTAGGATTCGGTGTTTTTGCAGTGCATGTTTTATCGTTTGAGCCCTGGATGAGCTCTGATCGTCTCCTCTCCTCTGCGCTCTTCATCGTTGCCTCCAGGACACAGCGGGGTCTCCATGGTGCCGAGCCAGATGAACTCTCTGGGCGACGGGCTCGAGGCCGAACTTCCCAACTGCCCCGCTCCAGCGCCCGTTTGCGTGCCGTCGTCTCAAGAGAGGGAGGACTCCATAGACAGCAGCACCCTCCTGGTGGGGCCCGACACGCCAACAGATGGCCACGCCCCCGCCCCTCTGCCCGCAGACTGCACGTCCTCCCTCAGCACTGTGGTATAGGAGCGAAGGACGGAGCCGCGCCCGGATCTCACTAGCCAGGACTGCAGGCTGTTGATGTCGGCCGCAGGGAGGAGACTCGTGTTTTGTACAGACGTATGAGGAGTAGCGGCGACTGTTTTCTTACAGCGGGGTTTTTCCTTCTGAAGACGAAGTGTTCGGTTTTGTTTGCTTTTTGAAGACACTGGCATCCGAGGGAGCAGCAAGGACCGACTCTGTAGAAAAAAACAAACAAAAAACAAACGGATCCCAATAATTTGACATGGCTGCGCTCTTTGTTTTGTTGCTGAGAAGCAGCCTAATTGGGTGAAACCCCGACTGCTGTAAATGCTCCCTGAGGTTCAGACTTCATACCTGTGTGTTTCAGTCCCGCACAGCGTCAAACTACCAGCCCAGCTTTTGTTGCTTGTACGCTTTTTGTTGCGTCACACATTGAGCTGATAAAAACCTTCATTTTTACAATCCGATCTAAGCAGCCGTCTTCCAGATTTATAGCACAGATTTGCAGAAGCAGATGTTTTATAGCTCAGAAGGTGTTTGGTAGTCTATTATCGTTGGGTTTTTACCGGGCTATGCTGACAAAAAAAGCTTTAGATGTCAGAAGACTGTGGTGACGCTGGTTATTATCAGTTTGGTATTGCGTTTGTTTATTAATTTATGACTGCAGGCTGTAATTTTGGTTGCTTGTTGGAGACGTGTAAGCTGATTAATGATGTGATAAAGACCTGGTTACTGTATGGGTAAAGATTAGAGATGAAGGTCTTTCATAGAAGGAAAAAATAATAATTTAAAAGATTTCTCCAATTATGACGTTAAGCCATGCTAACATTCAAATTCTGTATTATTTGTGGTTGGGCCGTTGTGTTCAGTCTTCACGCTTTGATTCGTGAGGTAAGCTCATCGACTGTCGCTTCCTGTCCGTCCCAGAATGTGCCAACCAGGCGTGGGCTGGCGCAACGTTTTCTTGGTAGCATAATTTTAGTAAAAAACATGTATATCAAGATATTTTCATGCAACTGTGAAACAAAAAGGCAGCATATAGTGATCTTATTGGTTTAATTAAAACTATACCTTGGTGTTGCTAAAACAATCTGAGATATTTATTATTACAGGTTTAATAATTCAACTGACTTTATTCTAAAATATAAACACAAACTACATATAGCAGCAGCTTTCAACCAAACATGTCGATTGTTCACAATGTTCCTGTTTAGTCATGTAATTCTGGATGGGTATGGAAAACTCTTCGTATAATCCAAGGACAAATGAATGAAACAGTCCAAGGAGAAATAAATACTTTTTGGCTCCTGGACTTTCTTACAACATGCAGTTTTTAAAATTGGCCTTTAGATGCCAAAAAAGCATTAATTACATTGATTTCTGGAGACGCATCAAAAGCCTTAGTCTTTGTTTCACTAATGTACATCATATTAGTGCTCAATTTAAAAAATCCATACGTTTATTTGATTTTTAAATTGAGATAAGTTTGTTCAGTTTCCAAATATATAGTGAAATGTCCCTTTAACACACTGATGAATTGTAAACCGACCAAATAATAAACCTCAACCTTACTGAAATGTTCAGCCTGTCATAAAATCTACCAGGAAAAATAATAAATGTTGAAGTGTAAACTTTGTAGTAACCATGAGTGCAGAATATTTTAGCTTTTTGCCCAGTTTAAAAAGTCAGAAACCTGATCATTACTGCATCTATCTAGCCTGCAGTCCGCTGCTTACCATACAAAACCAGCTAACTAGTTTAAAATCAAAATTATTTCCAAACAGCCTGATTTCTTGCTCTTAAAATCCAAGCACAAGTTTAGCACCTCAGCTCTACCTCTTCCTGTGGCGTTTTATTAAAGGGAATTAAAATGTGTGGCCAGCCCATGCCTGGGTTGAACCTCTGCAGAACATGATGATGGTGTTTCTGCAAAACTGTTGCTGTTTTGGTTTTGTCTTTTTCTCTCTTTGATGAAATGTGTATTTAAAAGAAAAAAAATTGTAAGTTTGGAGCAAGTAAGACGACAATCGTCGGATTCATTCGAGGATGGATTCGACGGAGTTGGGAGTTTGTTTTATTTTTTGGAGGTTCCTCCATCACCACCAGCAGCATCCAAACTCATGATCCACCCCCCAAAAATAGTTTAAAATATGTCTGACTCCACATCTCATGATTGAATGTACTGAATATACATATATATATATATATATATATAATACATGACTTTTTGTGCTCATCTTTTACTCATTTCTTTTTTATTTTCTACTTTTTGCGTTGACAATCCACAGTGGATTATCCAGCAAACCGAGTCATGTTTTCATACGCTGCCAAACGTGAGCATGTGTGTTTAACAGATGGTGTTCAGTTCTGTTTGCACCATCTTTTGTTTTGGTTTTCTTCTTGCTTTATGTACCTTTTGGTGCATGTTTTTTTTTTTTTATGTGTTGGCATGCTGAGAGGTAATTTTAGCACAACAGTGTACAGTAGATTTAAAGGCTCATACATGTAGTTCAGCGTTTTGTATGAACTGAAAGCCTGGTGGGGGGGGATTGTAATGCAACTTATGCTACATTTCTTTGTCTCTTATTTGACAGCCCTTAAATTAAAAACGGGGGGAAAAAAACAAGCCTGTGTTTTTCTGATATGGATCTACATCTAATCTTAATAAGCTTCACTGTGAAATCCGAGCTGGGGCTGCGATCCAGACTTTACGCTGAACCTATTCAGACGCGACATTTATCCTCTGCATTTTTTAGTTTTTTTCCTCCTTCGTCAAGGAAATCCCTCCACCTGACCAAATGTCAAAGAGATTTAAGGTGGAATGTAGGGAAATCCCCCCGTCCCCACCCCGACCTAAACAGTGAGACGGGGGGCGCCCGGAGATTTAGATGATTTGAAGGAAGCGAATATCACGCAGCTCAGAGTGACTCATACGGCAGCAGGCGGAGCGGAGAGAGCGATGCCCAGCTGGAGAGTGTTGTCTGGGATGAAAGGAGGCTTTGTCCACCCGGCCCCCACGGAGCAACGAGTGACAGAATCGCAAAATTTATTCCTGATGAGAGAGACCTAAAACGCAGCGCTTAACGGCTCAATCAACGCACAGGCTCACGACGAACATGGAGTCAAATTACGAAGCTGAGCATTCATTGGGTGGTGTGGGTGGTTTTTTTTTTAAGGATTAAAAATAAAAACAAAACAAAAATTTTCCTCAGATTTGGATCATAAAATTAACTTTTTAATGTTTTTATATTGTATCCAAGCCATGAGATTAAAATTGTGGGTTTTATTTAGACTTGTATGATAAAATTACTTGTTTTTATTTTATTGGAATTGGGGCATAATGTTAAAATGCCTCTAGATTTGGGCCATAAAATTAGTTTTTTGAATTCATATTTACTTTATTGAAGTTACACTATGAAAATGATTTTCTTTTATGGATCATAAAATGACTTTTTGATCTCTTTATTTTGTTGCATTCAAGCCATGAAATTAAAATGTATTTTTTAAATCAATTTAATCAATGAGATTACTTTTGTACTTATATTTGTGTTATTGGAGTTAGACCATAACATAAATATATATATTTTTTTTGTTTTTAATATTTGGGCCATAAAATTTACTTTTTAATTATCAGTATTATACCATAAAATTACCTATTCTGACTTCATTTAAATTATTGAAGTTAGACCACAGCATTAAAATGTTTCTTTTTTTTGTTTGTTTTATATTTGGGCCATAAAATTTCCCTTATAATTTTAAAACTAAACTATGATTAAATTTTTTTTTTTATTCATTTTTTTTATTTACACCATAAAATTACCTAAATTGATTCATTTATGTCGTTTTACGACTATATTCTTAATCTGGACAGTTAAAAAAAAAAAAAGCGTATTTAATTTATTGGGTTAAATAATAAAATAATTTGTATTAGACCATAAAATGACAATGTAATTCCATGCATTTATGCATGTTTAGAGCATAAAACTAACTTTCTAGGCACACTGATGTGTAGATAAAAGCACATCCTCTCATGAATGGGTGTTGTTACTAGTCACTGAGCATCTCTGATGGCTTCGGGGAGGAGGGGTGAAGCCGTCCTCGCATCAATGAGGCTGTTGATCAGAAAGGACCACTGGACTGGTAATGACACAGTTCACTGATCAGTCCCAGAGGAAATAAAACTCAGCTTTCACCACCCACCCCACTTAAGCTGGACGTTCCTGCAGATCTGCCTTCATTCTACCTCAACACACGCAGACGGCTGCCTGAGCCACCATGCAGCGGAGCGCGGCTCTCCTCATGCTCCTGCTTCTCTGCGCTGATTCGCGTAAGAGTCCACGTTAATATCAACAACTTTGTTTCTGGTTAATTAAGTTCAAGAAAACATCTGGTTGATTGTGCTGGTTATTTGTGTCTTCCAGAGGACTATTGCTATGATGAGCCACATTGTGGTAAGTAAAATAATAACTATTAGTTTGGAGACTCTAGGTTTACATTTGGAGCCATCATTTTAGCAGCTTGGTGTCTGTAAATCCTTTAATTCAGGACTAAATTTATACAAAGTAGTAAGCCTGTTAAACCAAGATATAGTGGAATATTTTATCTCCAAATAACTTGGTAGACTTTAAACCTTTCAATGCAAATTTCTCTTGTGCTGAAGTTGTTTTGCGCCAGTATTTGATCCTGTCCTCCATGTTAGCTCAGCAGCATCTTATGCTACAGATTAAAGCTGTTGATCATCTCAGCTTCTTATTAAACAACTTCTGTAGATTTTTTTTTTTATCGCCTCACAGTTACAAGAACCTTTCAGATTTATTTCAGTGAGTTTCATTGTTGAAACTCTGATTTTTTTTTTTCTTCTCTTAAACCACTATGTGGTTCCTCAAGAACATAAAACCTTACCAATGCATGTATGCTCAAATATAATCATAAACTTTGGTTAAATGTCCTTTAGTGACTGGAAACTGTTTGCTTTTTGTTGCTATCAAGAGACACCAGAGTTAAAAGCCTGATTTACATACAATTTTTTTTGTTTGTATTTGTAGTTTTATGTTTTTAAATGGTCCTCGTGTGCCTCCTTTTCTAATGGCGCCCTGGGCAGCTGCCTTTTGTGGTCACCACTGTTTTGTTTTGAAGATTTTGATTTAAAGTGCAGTTAAATAATTTGGCCCCATAATCTCAGATTTGCAAGCAAGTTTGAAGGTGTTGATTTTAGGAGAAATCACTTCTTTCTTTTTTGGCGCCATCTTGGTGGTTACCATGGCTAAATCCTAATAAACCTTCTTTCATCTAAGTGGGAAACGATACGAAACGCACATCTAAAGCTGTTTTAGAATGACAATGACAAAAATCAGATTGATTTTATGGAAAAGCCCCAAAGTATAAAAAGTATAACTGTAACCTTCAATTTCAGAGAAAACCCGCATTAAGCTGGTACTTGTGGATCATATTTTTGTTTTTAGCATGTATTGAATCAATGGGCTACATATGGGGCCCACACAGGGATGCTGGAAAGAAGGAGGGTTTGAATTAGTTTTGGAGTTATCTGGACTGAAAATCATGTTTTAAAAAAAAATCACCTGAAAATGACATTTTTAAATATTTTCCTTGCTCTCTTTTTGCTTCTTGAAACACATATCTAACTTTTATCTTGATCCTGTTCTGGAGAGTCCAGCTGACTCAGCGATTCTCTCTTTACCTCTGCATCAGATCCGTATTCATGGGGCGACTCCTTCCCTTCATGTCACCCTTTACTCGAGCGCCACCACTCTCCCATCAACCTGGACCACCAGTTGGTCCGAAACGACTCCTTGGGGCCGTTGCACCTTGAGGGTTTTGACGCGGTCCAACCAGGCCACTGGACGCTTGAGAACGACGGACACTCTGGTGAGCATCCCGCAGATTCTCCTCACCTTCCCGTCGTGTCCTGTGTTGGATTTGACGCCCGTGTTGCGCCTTCCCTTCCTCCTCCTTCAGTTTTGCTGCAGGTTGGCAGCGGCATGGCTGTGAGCGGCGGAGGTCTTCCAGATGTTTACCACACCATCCAGCTGCACTTCCACTGGGGAGGCCTGGCGACGAACGGCTCTGAGCACACGGTGGACGGGCGCAGATATCCGATGGAGGTACAGTATGGTCAGTAGGCAGCTCTACTCCGTCTGTTTCAGCAGGCTGCCGCGCCGCAGCCGCCCCTTAACGCCTCCGCCGCCGCGCCGGTTTTGATGTCGTCCACAGATGCACATAGTCAACATGAAGTCCATCCACCCCAATGAGTCTGCAGCTTTGGACGACCCAACAGGATTTGCTGTTCTTGGCTTCTTCATTGATGTTAGTTGATGAAAACGTGCAACACCTTTCATTGTAATGCGGCTGCAGCTTTTGCATAAGGTCATGTCTTTTGTTGCAGGTCGTTTATGCGGACAATGTTCATTTTGGACACATTTCTCAAAAACTGTCTTCTGTGGCCTACAGAGGTTAGACTCACCATTTACAATCACTTGCTACTGCACTGAAAAAAAAAAAAAAAATTTGACCAAGTATTTTTGGTCTAGTTTCTAGTGCAAACATCTTGAAACACTTGAAATAAGACAAAACTAACCTACAAAGAAGTTTTCAGCAAGACACAGGAGCTTATTTGAAGTAAACCATTCCTTAATTTTCATTTTTTATAAAAGTTCTAGCTTCACTTTTAACTTCTTACCAGAGAAGTAATCTGCCGGTGGAATCAGCACTAGAACTTTTTCATCAATATGTAAAAATTATTGACTTAAAATCTTGCTGAAAAGTTACTTGTGGGTTTGTTTTGTCTTATTTCACGTGCATTAAGAAGTTTGCACTAGAAACCAGAACAGAAGCATTTGGTGAAACTTTGCTTTTGCAGGTTTCTAACATGGCTGTGCATCTTTTCCTCAAGGCCAGACGACTAAAGTAAAGCCATTCCCACTGCTGAGTCTCCTGCCGAAGCACAACATGAGTCAGTATTACCGTTATTCTGGCAGCCTCACCACCCCTCCCTGCTCCCACGCCGTAGTTTGGACTCTCTATGAGGTCCCCATCCTCATCTCCTGGTCCCAGGTTGGTTCTGATTCCTAAAAAATCACAGGATTCCTGCCTGGCTGCAAAAATTTTAAAAATACTAACTATTTTTCTTCCTCAGCTGGCTCAGTTTACCTCGCAGATCTTCTCGACGGAGGAAGACGCAGAGCAGGTGACGCCTCTGCAGAACAACTTCAGGCATGTCCATCCCACCTTCAGCCGCACCGTGTCGGCCTCCAGAGACGCCGGGCTCCTCAGGGCGGCGGCCGGTCGACCGATCCGGTCAAATCTGCTGCACATCATTGTCCTGGGCAGTTTCATCTTTAAACTTTAACTCTCCTGTTATCCCACAATGATGTTTGAGATTTCTATAAAAACGTCACTAGAAAGTATCAAAGGGTCCTTTGCCTTTGTTTTGGTGTTTTCTTTTAAATCTGATTCCTGGATAAGTCCTTATTTTGTATCTTTTTACATGAACTAGGCCAAAAAAGGGGCCTGACAATGTAGGATGGTGTCCTAATAACATCAAACCAATATCTTCTAAAAATACTCAAACCTCTTAAACCTTTTCTCATTTTTATTCAGATATTGCCTGCGTGGATCTTCTGTTGTCACTCTTTTGAAGCCTCTAACTTATTTTTTAATTAGAATTATTCTGTATTTAACTTTCTTCCATCATCCTATCATCCCCTCCCGACTGCAGAAGAACATCCACCCAGCATGATGCTGCCACTACTATGTTTCACTGTCAGATTTATGGAGTGTACAGAAAATAATTGTTTTCCCAACTGAGCTGTGGGTCTCTGCAGCTCCTCCACAGTTACCATGAATATCTTGTTCTTGTCGGTTTTTAGAGAACATTTTTGCAGTTTAGCTCCTCTTACGTCACGACAATAAATATAAAATAGCTGCTGTATATTAAATGTTACAACAGTTTCACTTTACCTGGATCTCGCACAACACAAAATGTTTATTCGAACTATATATATATATATATATATATATATATATATATATACAAAACCAACCTTTTTAATGCATCTACTTTTAAAATTACACTTTAAATGAGAAAAATTACATTAAATTAGACTTTAAAATGTTAGAGAAAGTCAAAAGTTTTAATTCAAAGCGTAACATGAATGTTTTTCCAAAGCTCTTAACTTATATGTTATTGAGTCTAAGCAGAATAAACAGAATAACATTAAAAAACTGCATTCCAACAATTTATTCAAGTCAGATTAGCATTAATTCAACATATTTTTACTCAAGAAAAAGTAAAAAGAAAGTGTTTGGTAAGAAGATTACTCAAGTACAGAGGACTAATATTATTTGATTCAATATTTAGAAATTAAATCAGACAAAAATAGCAGAGTTAAGTTCAAAATTTGATATTTTAAAGATTAAAATGAAAAAAAAATACATATAATTACAATATAACAAATTAATACGGGAGAAACACTTTTCCTAATATAATTTTCTTCCTGTGCAGATTTGCTGTATCTAGTTTGACCTTGAAATGTTTCAGCAGGCTTAGTAGATACAAAATAACATCCTTGTGTTGCAGTAGTTTTCATTTCATTCTGCTGCCCAGATAAAATAGTTTCCATCTAAGGAAATGAGCAAGCATGTGGCGACTGTGGAAAGGACTCAGAAAACAAAATGTAATTTAAATGGACACACATGGGGAACAAGCCAATCAGGAGAGGATCTTTAGGCAATGCAGCCAATTAAATGAAAGAGAGCCAGACATTATCCAATCAGTTTGTTTCACACTCTTTGGCTTGATTTGATGAATATACTGAAAAATATGCTAGGTTTTAATTCAAAGGAAATAAAGAAGCTTAACTATTACTTTACTATTTTTTTCTAATATAAATCAAATACCAGAGTCCTGAGCAGCTTCAGGTAACTTCATACAAACAGAATAAAACAAGTTAGGAGAGCAGAAAAACATCGTCATGATGAGAGAATATCCTAAAACTTTGGAGACAATGCTCTACTTTCAACCTATATGATAATATTTACTTCCATCTTTTCTGAGAATCATTTTCAGATCATCTTTGTCCAAACTTTAGGATGACACTGTAGTGACTTCTGGCTCGTAATGTGGGATTTTTTTTGAATAAATCTGAGAACACAGAGCAGCATTTTATGATTCGGACCAATCAGTTCGAGCTCAGCAGATGGAGACGGGTGTGAGTTTGGCTCCCATGCTGCTTTGCTCAGCCCTGCCTCTCCGCTTGTGGTCACACCATCCTTTCACAGCCTCAGGTCAACACACACACACACACACACACACACACACACGCACACACACACTCCCATGCCTACTTAATGCTACTATATTATTCTGAACAAATGGGATAATTTAATGACTTTCAGACATAATCCATACCTAAAAATTCAGATATATTTAAGATATATTTCTCGCTTGTGATCCAAAATCTGATGTTCATCCATTCTGGTTTTACTTGAGGCTTAAGTTTATCCACCTGATTTCTGAGAACAAATCAGAAGAACAGGGATATTTTCTGTCCACAGATAAATATATAGATCAGTTATAGATTATTTCATTATCTATAATGGGGCAGTAATTCACAGGACTGCATACAGAAATCACCAGATTCTTCAAAATTCAACAATCTTTCACATTGTTTGAGTAAACAGAAACACAATGGGGTTATTTTCTATGTTTTCAATGGAAACACTGGAGGACTAGACATCAAAAAGGGTAATGGTCTGACATGGCAAAAACATTTTTTTTTACAAAATAATTAGAAAAAGAAAAAAAAAACTAGCCACTTGATTCATTTTACCAACATTTGAGTTGTTTCATTTGCGAGATGATGGGTAAAAATTAAATATACATCAATAAGAAGCACTTTATTCTTCAGAAATTAAGATTTTATTTTAGATAAGAATAAGAAATAAAGTTTTGAACTTAAAATATTCTTCCAGATTGTAAAAACCCAGAAATAAATAAATCAGACTCAATAAAGTTTATCCTCTCCTTTCTTAAATTCATATTAAAAATTATATTATGCTCTCTGAACAGCATTAAGACGCTATAAATGTATAAGAACGGCACTCCTTGCTACAATAAAAGAACAACCACTGTTTATGGATGTATGCAAAAAAAATTTATTCATTTTTTTCTTTTTCATACACTTATAATAAATAGACACGAGAAACGGGCTGAAACTTCAGTCCTCTTCCCAGTGCCGTTTCTGCACTTTTTTTTTTTAATTTTCCACACTGCAAAGAGCTTTTCATAGAATTTACAACAAAATTTAAAAAACCAAAAATAACAGAAGGAGCTTGACACAAGCTGAATATCCTGCTACCAGCTGACCAGCTCAGCGCTCGCCCTCTTTATGATACACACCCCTCCGAGCTGTGTTCAAGTAGCAAATCCCAAGAAACAAAAATATATATATATTTATATATATATTTATATATTTATATCGTATTCACAGTTAAACTACTTACACGTTTTAGGATCTCAAAGCAAATGGGCAGAAAACAAAGACGTTTCCACAAGAAACAATCTTTCAAAAAGGGAAGTGGAAGCTTTTTCCTGTACACAGTGGACCTTTTAAATAAACAACCTTTTAACCGTTAGCTCCTTTCACAGATCCCTGAAAATATTTAAATATTCAGTCTTTCGTTAAAAAAAAAAAGAAAAAAAAAATTAAAAGTGTTACATTTCTGAAGATAAAAAAGGTTTTAGATCTTCTGTACAGATTCTCATATACAATATGAACATCAGAGGTGAAAAAAAACAAAAAAAACAAAAAAACAAACAGGAATCTGCATTATTAATCCAAGTGAATGAAAAGCGACAACTGACTTGGTCTTCCGGGGCTTGAGAAGGAGAGGGGCGCAGGTGCGAGCCCTCGAGTGCATTTAGTATTTTATCTTTCATCTAAATAAACGACAAAGACAGAGAGGCTCCAGCGAGGAGGCCCGCAGGCGCCTTGATGTTACTGAAAATACAACAAAACATGATCATCAAGAGAGGGGAAAAGTTCCTCGCGGTTGCTTGTTAACACATCAGCAGCTTCCTCATGATTAAACAGAGACAGTCGTACATTAATTAATTAATTTGGCACTTAAAATGATGAATAACTGCTCCCCGCCCACCCCAGAGCTGAAAACTCAAGATTAGCCCCGTTGCTGTTGAGTTGAGATTCTCTTCCGTTTTCGGCCAGCAGGGGGCAGCGCACTCACATTCCTGCACCAGGAGGTACCGACACTCATTCATGCAAAACACGCACCCATACATAGTGTATCTGAACAAATAGGCATGAAAATACCTGTTAGAAAAACAAACAAACTGTTAGAAAAAATATATATAAAGGAATATGATTAATGCAAATTTTTGCAGAACATCGTTAAACCTTTGCATAAACTAACAGGAAGCAGCACGACCCGTCCAGGACAGGCGAAAGATGCTTGAATACTCCAGATTTAACCATTCGTATCTCGGTCTAGTTTGATTTATTACGCGCAGGGAAGGAAGCGGAGAGAACGCTCCGCCTTCCGCTCGTCTGCTCCAGAGACGAAGTGACCTCAGGCATCTTAAAGTGTTACTGAGCAGCTGAACATGTGAGTTTGTTTTTCCTTGTACCACAAGTGGTTGTTGTGGGGTAAAGCTTATGAGACAAATGAGAGGAGAAAAGTGTAAAATAAAAAGCCCCGCCCCGAGCCGGGACCCGATGCTGCAGGAGTCGTGCAGAAATACTGGGGAGAAAAAGTCACACTGGCAGAAAAATAACAAACACAGTTTCACTTGAAGAGCACCGTGAATCGTAAACAATCTAGAGTTTAATGTATGAAGAGTGCAGGTCAGGTAGCTTAGCTCGACCCAGCGTGAAGCGCCGGGTCGCTTCACGCTGCGAGGCGGGTCCGTTAGTTGAGCGTCCCCCTGCAGTTCTCCGCCCCGCACAGACACGGGATCTTCTCGTCCTCGATGGGGAACTTGTAGTCGTACGTGATCTCCTCGTTCACGTTGATCGGCTGCCTGGAGTAGATCACGATCTTCTTCTGAGACTCAACCGTGATGACTTTAGCATAACAGTTAGGCTGCAAACGACAAATAAACAATAAAAAATAAAAAAAAATCATAAAAACAATGTTTTTTTTTTCTCAGTTTGTGAAATGAAGATGATGTCGCCTTACGTTGCAGCTGTGGTTGATGAAACGGGCAAAGTTGCCACATTTGGTAGCGTCAATGATGGTGTCGTGGTCCACGCGGAACATGTAGCTGCTGCCGATGCCCTCCTCCTCGTAGCGCTTCTCCCGCATGTCGGCGAGCACCGTAAAACAAAAAAAAAAAAAAAAAAAAAAAAAACTCATGAAGGTTTGCGTCAACCCTGCTCAGCTTTACAC